AGGTAGATTTCATTTCATACTCATCTTGACTGAATTTACATCTATTATTATTTTTCTAACTGAATAACTGAATTCACTCAACTCTAGATAAAAATACGAATTCAGATTATTAGACCTGACTGACTGAAAATATAACTTTGTTGGCCAAGTCATGCATTTTGTTCCAAATAAAGAAAATTCCTTTTAAACGTTACGGAATTAAATGACTTTTTCTCCAGCCACAAGGAACTGATATGAACAAGGGAGATATTATTTTATATAATGGAACCCACAGTACCTAGCACAAATGTCTGACATAGAGAATATTCAATAAATATCGCTTAGCATAATGTTTGACATGCAGAAAATGCTTCATAAAACTTGGCCAAATTATTTTTACACTTTTTGTGAATAGACTTTCTTAAATTTTTAGTAACTGGTTTGTAAGGTGCTGTATTTAATGAATGTTTCTTTTCTCAAATTTCAAATTCTAATTTCTGTTTTTCCTTCATACCTAATAGATTCTAGAGCCATTATCAACATAAGATGTATGATATCTGTCCTTATTCTAGGATTTAAAAGTCAGGGCCACTATAAAACTTAACATACCATCATCACATTTGGGGCTATTTTAAGATGCAAAAAGATAAAGAAAAGACATAAAATAAAAAACTTACAGAGTAGTTCTGCTTTCTATGCTATATCACGCATTAAGTCTCTTTAATTTAATAACATGTTGACTTATGTACATCCTGGAAAAGAGTGACTCTTTACTTAACTACTGTGAAAACCTCTTTCTGCCTCACCTAAGGTTCCAAACATGTTATTTAAAAAGAAATATGGACTTGTCCCCCATTACAAACTATTATCAAGTTAAGAAAAATGTAATCATCACAATGCATTATTTAAGTATAAAAGCTCAGAATTGAAATCTTTGTCATTGAGTGGCATATTTTAAATGAAGAGTAATATTCCAGATCTCTTTAGAAAGCCTAATGCTTAAAAATAATTTTATCTAACTATGAACAATGTGAAAAAGCATTATAAAATACATTTTGAGTATGCTATGAAGATTATGAACATAATGCAGAATTAAATTTAGGGCAATTAAGAGTAGATTTTGAAGATATTTTCTTACATGCTTTAATAGAGTCATCATTTCAGTTTGCAGTTTTAAATTGCAGAAGAAGCTATATGCACTGACTTCTTTGACGGGTATTATTAAATAAGTATGCATTATCTAGCAGCCTATTTGGTTACACAAAAATTGAGGAGCACTAAAAGTAAACACAAATAGTGGAATTAATGATATTTCTGTACTGAAATGTACTTTGATTATGAGTGTTGTAACGTGCAAAATCCTGAGGTCTGAGTACAACAGAAACCATACTGTATTGAGACATTCCACATGCAGTTTGTGGTCATGAAGTCTGATTAAAAGTGGTTTTAGATATATGAAAGTATGTCTATGTCAATGCCTTCTGTAATGAACGTATTCTGTAGCCTATTTCACTAAATAAAATGCCAATATGCAGGTATAGTTTCATATCAAAATTGGATAATTAGCCGGGCGCGGTGGCGGGCGCCTGTAGTCCCAGCTACTCAGGAGGCTGAGGCAGGAGAATGGCGTGAACCCGGGAGGCGGAGCTTGCAGTGAGCCGAGATCGCGCCACTGCACTCCAGCCTGGGCGACAGCGTGAGACTCCGTCTCAAAAAAAAAAAAAAAAATTAAAAGACATTCAGTACAGCTCTGTGTAATTAATGATATTATGTTTAATTATTCATTCCAAAAAGTTGGTTTTCAGCCCATCCTTAATATCAGTTATGACTCATCTGAATAAAACAGAATAAACTTTTCTAAAGTAGTGTGATAATCAGATATGAAAATAAAACACTGGCTATATTTTATCAGAAGTACTTTAGAAAGACAATCAATAAAGATGAAATAGAAGGTGAAACACTGACAATTACAAGAAAGAAGAATTATCCAAGTTGAAACGTAAATAACGTAACTGAGTAAATACTGACTAGTTGATATGGGCTAGTAAATACCTAAATGCCTTATTTTCCAAAGGATGGTCACTATAGCTTTATCTTTCGATAGCTCAGCTTGATCTTTCTATCAATCATAATAACATCCTCGAATAGCCATAATTGGTAAACTCTTCAAGTCACCAAGACGAGTATATTCTGCTAGTTCTTTTTCAGTTAAATCAACTAAGAAATTTATGGGAACTAATATTTATTGAGCACCTACTCTAAGCATTATACTCAATACTATACACACATTATTGGATACAATCCTCACAACAACCCTAAGAGTAGGTATAAATCTCTGTTTTACAGATTTGAAAAAATCAAACTCAAAGAACTTTATTTAAAGTAAGGCGAGGCACAGTGGCTTATGCCTGTAATCCTAGCACTTTGAAAGGCTTAATTGGGAGGATCGCTTGAGCTCAGAAGTTTGAGACCAGCCCAAGTAACATATGGAAACCTCGTTTCTACTAAAAATAAATGAAAATAAAGATAAAGCCAGAACATGTTGGTGCACACCTGTAGTCCCAGCTACTCGGGAGGTTGAGGCAGGAGGATCATTTTACCCTGGGAAGTGGAGGCTGCAGTAAGCAATACTAGTACCACTACACTCCAGCCTGGGTGACAGGGGGAGACCCTGTCTCAAAAAACAAACAAAAAAGAAGTTTTTAAGTGAATGTCACATGACTAGCAAATGCAGCATTCAAATTCAGAGTTCTCTGAATACAAACCCTATGTTCTTTGCTTTCTACCATACTACCTTCAATGTCAATGTGATAATATAATTATTATTAAGTAAGGAATATATATATTGTTTTAAAAAGTTTGCATATGAGTTGTTAAAAACATTTCATGGCAAAATTTATCACATATATAACATACATCAACTTGTATCTTTCTAAAGACTTCACATAATAGTTTCCCCTATCATTTTTTTGTACCATAGATTTTTACCATGTGCCCATACATGTCTACTGGTCTAAGCATTGGGGATAAAGTAGTGAGCAAAATAAAAATGGCATGTGCCCTTGTGGGGCATGCACTGTAGTGGAAGAGAGGTTAAACAAATCACATAGGAAAATATACACAGTTTTGTATATTTTTAAATTTTGTATATTTTCGTATATATTTTGTATATTTTTGTGTATATTTTGTATATTTGAAAATATAAAATGTAATTGTAACATTAAGGAAAAATAAAAGGTGATAAGTAAGACAATAATTAACAAAATGTGGAGGAATGAAGAGACTGGGAAGTCAGGTTTTCTGTCTGCTAGCCCACAGTCCTTGTCAACATAAATCTATTTAGTTGTAGGGGAGGGTGGGGAGTGGGAGAAGGAGGCAGGCCGGGATTCAGAGTTCTCTCTGAGGTTTCTAGTTTGGCTGTCTGAGTTTATGGTGAGATGGGGATTCCAAAAGGGGTAACAGATTCTAGACTGAAGATAATGAGATTGAGCTTTGGAGGATTTGAGATTCCAGGATGTTTAGACAGGTGTGGAACTGGAGGACATGTATTGGGTGTCTGGAGACAAAAAGAAAGATGAAGGGTAGGAATATGCAATTAGGAATTACACACAAATCTGTGGTGGATAAAATGAGCTGGCCTCTGCAAGGTGGTTTGGATTTGAAGGTATGAAAAAAGTGTAAATAGTTCCTTCTGAAAACAATAGCTTAATTAAGTAAATCAGCTTTTCCCAGAATATGTGCCTCAAAAACCTAGTTCTGAAGAGTGATAGTAAGTGATCCTCAAAATAAATAAACATGCAGAGAAACAATATGTCAGCAATAGGTTTGAAAAGCAAGTTAAAGTTTAAAAGGTTTCGTAGCCTTTAACATATCAATGTGCCTCATTTTCCAAACATATTAGGCCATTGAACTTTTCTCGTAAGGAGTATTTTACAGGAACAGTACTGTACAGAATGCATACCTGCTGGGGAACAGTGGACCGTATAAAGGTTTATAATTAAGACTGTTCACACCTTTGCAGTATCCAGACTGGAGCAACAAGCTGAAGTTCAATTAAAAGAGAGTTGAAATTGGGAAGAGTGAAATATATTTTTGCATTTGGTAGGATTGGCAGGTAGGAAGTTTTCAAAGCCAGGGAGAGGGAGCGGTTGTAGACAGCTCATCAGGAAAAAGACAGTAGGAAGAGTGAGGCTTTGCAGTTTGAGATGAATTGAGGAAGGAATGATTCCAGGCAGGGAGATCATCTAGGACAGGAAGCTGCTAGGCTGTCCAAAGTTGAAATGATAAGGACATGAGTGATAAAGTCACCTGGGAAATATTATGAACCTGAGAAATACTTTGAGGAAAGGAATTATGGGTTTTGATAACAGATTAGATTAAAAGAAGAAAATGGTGGCATTAACAATACAGTTTCTGACCTGAGAGAAGAAGAAAGATACACAGAAGAATGAAACCAAAACCCTAAGCATATGATGGCTAACGGACTTCCCAATGTCCTGCTGGATTTCTAGAAAACAGAATACGACATCGTCTGAGAGCACAGTCATCTTCAAGTGTTTTCAATTAAATGACATGAGACTAGACAATTTTAAGACTTGTTTGAACACAGATCTAAAATGCTAAGTTCATAATGTCATGTCCACTCTTCAAATAGTCAAAAACAAACTCCAAACTAATTATTAATTGGGAAATGTTAACCATGCTGAAATTAATTTTTTTTTTTTTAAATCTTAACTTGCTCAAAGAAACATGACCAATTCCCTGGTCACCTTCATTAAAATACCGTATATTAAATCTTGCATTTACAGTCTCACATTCAGCAGCAAGCTAGAAATCACACATTTTCAAGTGATAAGCAGAAATTAATTTTAGATTTATTTGCTTTCTTTCTAAATGTGTTAGTGCCCAAGGGCTCTTACAACTACACACCATTGTTTTGTGAAGAAAAAGAAAAAAGAAAAGAAAAAACCACACATGCATGAATATTTTTTTTTTAATCTTGGCTGCTTTCTTTTTTCCAGGTAACATTTACAAAGAGGAAATTTGGGTTGATGAAGAAGGCTTACGAGCTGAGCGTGCTGTGTGACTGTGAGATTGCACTGATCATCTTCAACAGCACCAACAAGCTGTTCCAGTATGCCAGCACCGACATGGACAAAGTGCTTCTCAAGTACACGGAGTACAACGAGCCGCATGAGAGCCGGACAAACTCAGACATCGTGGAGGTGAGAGAGCATGCGTGGTGAGCCCCAAGCCTCTGCAAGCCAGGGTGTTTGGACCCCCCCCCCGGCACACACACATATACACATCATGTTCTTTTTCCTAAGATGTTCATAAAGTCCCATAGCTAGACCCAGGATTATTATCGATCCCAATTACTCCACCTTTTCTCTTCCCCTCAAAAGTTAGAGTGATATGATGATAGAGACCTTGTAGATCTGGTCTTTGCTAGAAATCAAGTACCAGTGTCAAACTATTTGCTTCATCTTTTGCAAGTGGTCATTGTCCACGGCTGCATATCAGGACACCATGGTTGGAAACTCTTGCAAGGGAATAGCTCATCCATTTTTTAGAGACTTCTGATCATTTCTTTTAGGTATATAATAGTTTCCCAGCATCATCAAAGAAAAAGTGTATATAAAAATGAACTCACCCCAACCTTACACTTTCAGTTTTTCGATTTATGCCTCTTCTTTGTAATTCATTATTCTGAATGCTTTCTTGGTGGAAGAGTGAAGGCAATTATTCTCCTAGAAATGTTTTTTCCTAAAAATTATATCTTTTATATATCAATGAAAACTGTTAATATACACAGAATCAGAAATCAGATGAAAATGAATTTCTAAATGTTACCTCAGTGTTTAATCAATCTCAGATTTAAAAAATTGTTTTATTGTGCCAAAAATAAATGAGCATGATGTCGAAAGTAAAAAATGTTTTAGACGTGTTAGCATAAGTAACATATCATACAGTTTTGGCTGGAACTTTTTAAAGATTTTCAGCATCTATCCTATTTAAATACTTTGTAGTGCCCTTCAAGAGCAATGACTAAGACTATGAAACCAAGAAGGAAGAGGTATAATAAGGATGGTTCCCATCTGCCTATTTTCTTTACCTATTTGTCTACTCTGGCTTCTCTAGATTGTGCCTGCTTTCTCAGAATGAAAAGAAAATTAATAAGTGTTTCAAAAGTATGTACTCAAGAGTCAGTTTGCCAGAGTACACGTCATTCTTGCCATTGCTTAGACTGGTTCCATATTGTGAAAAAATGTAGTGCTAATCCTGATCAAATGAATATGCCTCCCACATCCATTTCCCTTTTACCTGTTACAGTTGTCTAAGACTAATTCTCATTTGTTTTTATTTGAAAGTTTTTTCAAAAGTATTGAGCTGATTGTTATATTTTATTTTTGCCTAACAAGGCCAAGGAAATAATTTCAGAGAAACAAAAGTGAATGATAAATAGATCTAGTGTGATATGTGCTTAAAATACTAGGCATTATTTTAGTTTTTCATTGATAATTTGAATTGTGTGCTTGCCTTGATCTTGAAATTTAAGATCACTGATAAAATTTACCTATGCATTTTAGTTAGTTTTTTATTTGCATATAAATGTGAAAGTACAAAAATATGATGGTGAACACTGCTTGTGTGTGCACTAATAAATATGTAAAATAAATTCAGAAAACAAAACACCTATTTACTCAAAACTCCCATCTCATTGCTAAAACCATTATAACAAAAGTCAGGGTAACAAAAGAATTTGAGTTGGAATTTATCATTAGACTGGAACTGTGCTAGTCCTTAATGTCGTGTGAAATGCTAGAACCATAATGAACCAATTGAAAAATATGTTGACTTCTAAAATTTGCTTTCTTAAAGGAGTTTAAAACCTAGAACATTAATCTTTTGTGGGTTTTTCTTAGGAATATATTATATGACTTGAAGGCAACTTAAAACTTCATATATTGGCCAGGTGTGGTGGCTCACGCTTATAATGTCAACACTTTGGGAGGCCTAGCTGGACAGATTGCCTGAGCTCAGGAGTTTGAGAGCAGCCTGGGTAACATCGCAAAACTCCATCTCTGCAACAAAAAAAAAAAACCAAAAATTTTTTGTATTTAGGCACGGTGGCACGCATGTGTGGTCCCAGCTACTTGGGGGGCTGAGGGGGAAAATGGCTTGAGCCTGAGAGGTCAAGGCTGCAGTGAGCCTAGATTGTGCCTCTGCACTGCAGCCTAAGTGACAGAGCAAGACCCTGTCTCTTTAACAACAACAACAAAAAAACCCACTTCATAAATTGTATGAAAACTTATTATTTTTTGATAGGTGGATATTTGAAAGTCAGACTTCTTTAAATGCCACAAAAACAGCACTGGGTTAAGAGTCATTGTTTTTCATTTGAATCCTTGTCTTGCACTTTTGTGCTGTGTGTCTAGTTGGGTACCCCTCTGGGCTGAAGTTTTCTCATGTCAAAAATGAAGGCATTGAATTTGAAAGTGCTTTTGCAAGATTATAATTTTTTTTAAAAAAGCAATACTTGTAGGCCGGGCGCGGTGGCTCAAGCCTGTAATCTCAGCACTTTGGGAGGCCTAGACGGGTGGATCACGAGGTCAGGAGATCGAGACCATCCTGGCTAACACGGTGAAACCCCATCTCTACTAAAAAATACGAAAAACTAGCCGGGCGAGTGAGCCGAGATCCGGCCACTGCACTCCAGTCTGGGCGACCGAGCGAGACTCCGTTTCAGAAAAAAAAAAAAAAAAAGTAATACTTGTAAAACAAGAGTAAAGAACCGGCTCCATTTTCTTGTTAACATCAATAGGTTAAATCTCTGAAAAAGACACCTCGAGGCTCCTGGGCCAAATCTAGAGATTCAATGACTCAGTTATTTGGATGAACATAACATGTAAGTCAAACACATTGTGGGTCCGTCCTGTTCAACTCCCAGAATTATGCATTCTTCACATATTTGGCTTTTCCACATTTTGGTAATAACAGAGATCGTGGAAAAAGAAGTAAGGTGGGACCACTAAGCTTGACAACATTTACATCATCTTCACGTGGAGTATTTTTCAAAGCACTAATCACTGAAATTAGGATACTTGAGATACTTAGTGGAGGAGAGGGGATCTGGATTGGAAGTTGCATTTGTAAAAAGTTCTCCAAGTAGGCCGGGCGCGGTGGCTCACCCCTGTAATCCCAGCACTTTCAGAGGCCGAGGCGGGCGGATCACGAGGTCGGGAGATGGAGATTATCGGGGCTAACATGGTGAAACCCCGTCTCTACTAAAAATACAAAAAATTAGCCAGGCGAGGTGGCGGGCGTCTGTAGTCCCAGCTACTCGCGAGGCTGAGGTGGGAGAATGGTGTGAACCCGGGAGGCGGAGCTTGCAGTGAGCCGAGATCCCGTCACTGCACTCCAGCCTGAGCGACGAGATCCTGCCACTGCACTCCAGCCTGAGCGACACAGCGAGACTCTGTCTCAAAAAAAAAAAAGAAAGAAAGTTCCCCAAGTAATTCTTAGACACACTAAATTTGAAAACCTCTGCAGCACTAGTTCATAAATTGTGTTGGAGGCCAAAGACCTATGATACATCAGGGATTTGAATTTGTTCTTAGAATGGATTTAACATAAAGTTGAAAGTTAAGATAGTTTACTACTCCTGGGTAAAATTTTAAATCCTATTTATTTTAATTTAATGGAATACATTTAACTAAGTTTAATGAGGAGCATAATATGTTTCATGAAGGGTCATTAGTTTTATATTTCCCATTTGGACCATTACCCCTCTTCCTTACCCTCTAAAAACAGTTTACTCACATGAAGAAAAGGTATGGGGAGAGCTAGAAATAATAAAAGTTCTAGCATTTAGACAGAAATACAAATTTCTGGACCATGCCAGAGTAGTGCTACAGGGTCATAGGAAACTGTGCAGTGCGTGGGTGTTGAAAAAGATTCCTTCTTTTAGCAAAAAAGCTCTGCGTAATTGTCATGTGTTTGCTTGATAATTAACACTACTCCAACAATGGCACAAAGACTCACAAAGGCTTAACAGACAGACGGAGATCAGTTTTTTTACTATTATATTATAATGCAGCTTGAATATCTGTTTAGATACAATATATAAATATGCCAGATTTAGTAAATGCGTTAAAATTTTAATCCATTGATTAAAAAACAAAAACAGTTATTGTATTAAAAGCACTTCCTTTGAACAAAGTCCATTTTACTTAATTCTGACAAGTATACTGGGATATTTACCCAAAATGCTAGCTTGTCAGACTGTTGAAATTCAGTTGGGAATCTGATGGCGTTAAGGAACTGCTCCCTTCACTGCTTGTTCACTAGCTCCACTCCTCATTCTCTTAGCTGTCTAAGACAGCAAACCCTACCAGTTTATGTTGGGCTCTGTTCCTGGAAGAAGATGTGGTTGTTGAGTACTTGAGGATGATCTGAAGACTCAGATCCCACAGGACATGCTTATAGGCCATTGCTTCACTTAGCAATGATGTAGCAAGCTCCATTCATGCTCAGAACTGTGCAAGAGACTCTGAAACAACAGGAGACTGGCATTCTTGTTAAGGATATAAAACATATATGCAAAAAATGAGCTTGGGAACAATTGGACGGCAAAGGAACAATAACCTCATTAATGCAGTATAAGCTGCTGAAATGAAGGCATAGGCTAAACAATTCAACAGAACTCATTTAGCCAGGTCATGTGTTTTTCCAGAGCATTCCAGGTGATCCTTGGAGTGACAGGACTCCCAGACAGGTTATCTTCATATCCAGCACATGTTTTGTAACCACAAAATCCTTATGGGAGTATCACTTAGCACCCAGCCAGGAAGGAATCTCTCATCCCCTCAGTGAACTCAGTGATTCTAATGAGCTACTCATTCAGTCTGGGCCCACAGTCCAGTGATTAAGTGTGGAAAGGGAATAAAACACAAGGCCCTTTGCTGCTCTCTAGGAAATTCAGAGATGGATGTAACTCCTGCAGTAGAAACCTTTGATTCACAACTGTCTCAATAGAGGATTATTGGTTTTTCTTTTTAGAGGAAGAATGTGTGTGTGTCTGTGTGTGTGTGTGTGTGTGAGAGAGAGAGAGAAGGAAAGAGGCAGGGGAAAATGGAAAGAGAGAAGATGAGAGATGAGAGAGAGATTATATTTACCTGAAATTTTATTATTTTGGAAATTTTTTTTGCTGTCACTTGAATCC